TGCAGAGTTATCATGAGTGATAAAAACATCAGCAAAAACTACAAAAATAAGATAAAGTGATGCAATAATATTATTTTAAAAGCATTGGTTAACAACATTGGAATACAGTATAAAGTGTATCCTCTATTATATTCTGTTTATTAAACTTTTTGAAGTACAGTATATTTTAAATACACATTGTCGATATTTCCAACACAGATTAAAGTACTGCATCCTGAATCACTGTAAATCACCATAAATAAGAAGTGCAGTCATTATGTCTCTGTCTGCCTGGTCAGGCGAAGCTCCAGCTGGCCCAGAGCAGCAGCAGAGTACTGGCATACACGACCACAACCAACAAGTAAAAGCGGAACAGGAAGCAGTCGAGCTTGGAGCACAGAGCCAGCCACTCGGCCTGAGTCGAAGACTCTGTGTCCTCCTCGGATAAGGCCTGGCGGAGGGACGCCAGCTCCTGGAGAACCCACTCCAGAGCAGAGGGAGGATTCTGGATCTCATTCAGAGACAGCAGATCCTCTTCCAGTGAGGGCTCCAGCTCATAATCTGTGAGAGGATCAAATGAAGACAATTAATTTAGATTTATGCAGTTTTAATACAAACCAAAAAGGCCCAGTTTCCAAACACTTTGGTACAGACTGTTTCATCTCAGCTGCAGCATCTCCAGCAAGGGTCTGTTGTTGTTGTTATTGTCTGTCAGCAGCTCGGAGCTTACCTCCGGACGAGTTGATGTAGTCGAGGGTTTTGATGGAGGTTAAGGCGCTCTCAGAGAAGCCCTGACCAGCTGAGCCGTACTTGTCCAGCAGGCAGGCCGACACTGACATCTGCTTGACCTCCTCCTCGCTGTGGTGGAGCAGCTTCACCACCAGTATGGACTTTATCAGGCTGAGCATCAGCAGGGCCATGCACACCACAAAGAACACACCTGGAGGGAGACGGTTGCTTATTTAATGATGTCCAATAATCAGATTATGACTTGAGCTCCCTCATGTCACATTGTCAGACTTCCAGTATTTAGAGGGAGTATATAGCATAAACAAATGCTACATACTGCAGCATTTATAGCCACATTTACTCCCTGACAGTGCATTTACTGCATGATATAGTCAACAAATACATATTGAGAATATTTTGACAGATATTGCAATTGCAGTATAATTTACATTTATTTGGAAATGAGCATTTTTGCATTACAATTTTCATTTTCACTGAAAAAAAAACAACTATTCAAATCATGATGATGTGACATTTTTTGGGGTCTGTGCCACGCAATCATGTTTTCTCACATCTGGAGAACTAGATTTGTAGGCCAGGACATCTCTACAGCACTATAGTACTTCATTATAATGCTGTTTTGTCACACATTTGACCTTTTATCAAAAAACTACAGCACCCCGATTTGGATTTTGCAGTTGGTTGCGATTTCGATAATATTTAAATTCTACTTTGTTGGTAAACTTGTTATGTGAGAACAATGGTCTTTCTAGTTGTATTAACAACAGAATAAACAACAAAAGGGACATAATTTTGTACATGTACCAAACTGACAAAATCAAAAATTGTGTCTAAAACAAAGCAAAAATTGCTAGAATGGTAAAAACAACAAATGTACTAAAATGATCTAAACAACAAACACAAACACCTAACCCACCCCACCTATGAGTGGAGTTCTGACTGCAGTGGAAGGCAGCTCGTCTGTCATGTTGACCCTGAAGACAGTGTAGCCCAGCAGTATGCTGATCTTGAAGACGATGCGCGTGCCACTGTTCAGAGGCAGGTAGAAGCTGATCACATCCACCAGCATGAGGAAGATGCTGGGGATGAGGAGACCCACCACATACAGCAGGGGGCGCCGGCGGATCAACACCTGAAGAATTGAGAGGACTGAGACAGAGCTGAGGCCTGATGGACTCTTATCATATCATTTTATTCAACCACCTGTTCGTTACAGAGGTCTCTGACTATGCAGGTAGATTTGGTTTTATTTGTCCCACATTTAGACACAGTAGGAAAAGTGTAAATAAATGAATGGCTGAAGTCCATTTAGCTGCTTCAGTTTCAGGGTCCTGGTTTTGTGCATGCTGGCTCACTGGGAGACTTTAATCATTAATGTTATTAGTAATGTTAGAGCCAAAATAGACTTGTTGTTATTATGGTTATGGAAGTAAATATGTCAATATAATTGAATTTAGCTATATAAATTGGGGTTGAATTATTTTAGTAATGTTTAATATTTTTCTATTTTTTATTGTTCTTTGTATAATGGTATGCATAGGTAGAGCCACAGGGAAGGCGTTAGACCACACCTGTATTGTATTGTTCCAGCAAGGTTTAATAGGTTTTTGTTTGACAAAATATGTTTTGAATTTTGGAAATGATTACAACAATCTTCTTTTCTTCTTTTAATACATTTTTACTTTTGGACGTTGACATGCTCTAGAGTTAATTGTTTGGATCACGCAAGTTGGGAATAATCCTACGCAGCCCCCACTGGAATCTATAATAAAACAAGTAACACTGCTTTCCTACCATGGCAGGTAAAAATACCTGCTGTGAAAAAGGCCTATAGAGGTCAATGGAATTTAGTTTGTGATGCTCCCAAAAATAATACAATAAAAAAACAGCCACCTCTAACAACAAAAAAGTAATTTTTGCTCTATTTTATACGAATATTTTCCTTATCCAGAAATACACACGCAAAAAAAGGCAAATGAAGTCAGAAAAACTGTTGAAGAAATATGTTCTTTATGTGTTTATATGTTTTTTCCTTTTGTCCAAAAATCATCTTGTGAGTCTTGAACTCTTGGGCTTTATCTTGTCTAACTGTGTTAATACGTTAAGAAGTAAGTAAGGCTGACCAACATAACCTTTGCTTCATTTTATTTAGTTATTTAATTATTTATATGTAAGTATCTAGCATAAACAAATGGCACACACCACAACATCTACAGCCTCGACCAGTGCAAAATATGTTTTGGTAGATTACAAAAATCCTGTATAAAGAGGTACAATACAGTTACATTGCAACTAAACTGATCAAACTCTTTTCCAGAGGTTTTAGGGCAGTTGACAGTTTACGGCAGTTAACAACTGCAATGAAAAATAGGAAACTGGGAGATATAAAATTAGTTTTATCTATTTATTTACATTTTTTAACTACTTATAATAGTATAATTATTTTAGGAATTATGCATGATTAATATTTTTTAAATCAGTGGTTCCAAACCTGGGGGGCAACCACTAGGGTTTGCTAAAGCTTCACAGGGGGCCGTGAAGCCTTCTTGATTTTAGAAAACGTAAAAAATATACACAGTAGGCCTATATCTCAGCATTACTGTGAAGAAATGTAAATTAATAGAACAATGGCCATCGTTAGGGACAAGAAAATGCTGAATTTGTCAAAAGAGAAGCCTATTAAGTCTGTATGATTGTTGAAAATGATTACAAATGATTACAAAATACAAATACAGACAGAGAATTGTATAAAAATGTCCCCAAAAAGGAAATATTCTGTTCAAAATTCATCCAAATCACTCGTTTTACACAAACGTCTTGCAGTTACTGAGTTCACTGTTTGGGGTCATTGTACAGTTTTAAATATATTATGAAATATACCTAAAATATGTCACTTAGTCAGTTTACTATATCATAGAAAAGGTTAAGGAAAAAGGTTGGAAACCACTGTTTTAAATGAACATTTAAAAAAATCTCACGTACTCTCTGCAGTTCTCCGAATTACCTCTAGGGGTACATGTACCCCCATTTGAGAAACACTGGCCTAAGCTACTTAGCAATGCTTGTCCTTTGATGGGCCTTTAAAGACATAGAGGTCTCAAGTTTTGTTAAAAATCAACGTTTTCTCATCACAAAAACCTCTTCCATCAGTAACTCTTTCCATAAGATACAGCTACACAGTGTAACAATATCCCAGTGAGCCATGAAATGCTCCATTACCAGAAAAAGCCTCCGCTCTTTGAGCTGAATAAATAGCAGCCCTCCCTGCTCTCCACCTGCAATGGGCTATGGGGCCATTTTCCTCACCACTAACAAGAAGTCCATTGATCAGGCAGCCACTGAGACAGTCTCATTATGGTCGCTCACCCTCCCCTGTCTATCAGCCTCCCTCTCTATCTGTCTCTTTGCTCGCCAGAAACCGCCTCAGTCTCATCATTTGGCATTAGCTCGCGAGCCCGATCCATGAAGGTCGCGGCCAATTGCTTTACACTTTACAATTCCACCGCCCAGCGTGGGGTTGGGGTGGGGGCTAACCCACAGAGGGCTACAGTTTAAAGCTCACCATCGATAAACAATCACTGCCATCACAGTGCAGTTACTGGCTCACTTGTTACGGAGCTGTTATACAACACTGTTGGACACCAGTGTATACAAATAAACTACAGTATGCCTTTCTCTTTCATTTTTACACTTTCTTTACTTCACCTTTCTCCTATTTCAGTAAGTGAGAAAGGAGGAATGAGACAGTAAGGCACGTACATTGAACTGGATGTGGGCGTAGTCTGTGTTGTCTTGGTGGATTATCCAGTAGTGGGAGGGAATGGACAACAGTTCCCATTCTCCATCATTCATGAACTCCCTCTTATCATTAGCGATGGCCTCTGCGCTCCTCCACAGAGCTAGGTCTATCTCCTTCACTGCAGAGGGAGAGATAATGAGGCATGAAAGGAAGCGGTAGGTGGAAAAAACAATGAGGGAAAGCTGGAAATATCTGCTTTTTTTTTAGAGAGATTGTGTTATTTCATCCCGACACTTTTGTTTTCCTGTCAAAAGACATGCAAACGAGGTGAATGGACCATTTTCACATGAAATAGTGAACACAGGTGTTAGCAATGATACTAATTATGGTTCCATTTAGGATAGCAGAGCCTTTCAGTGAGCTGACTCTGTTTGACCTTAAGTCCTTAAGTCAGAAGTAGTATCATTGGTAACAGCCTTGTGTTTACCCTACTCTTTCACGTCAAAATGGCTGCTGTAAAAAAAAGTCTGTCTTGATTATTTGCCTGATTTGATAGTAAATTGAAAATCTTTTGGTTATTGATTCATGGTAGTGTTTTAAGAAGAATTATAATTCCATTTATCTGTAAAGTCATTGAAAGATCAATCGATTATTATTTATTATTAATTTATTACAAATTATTACAATTAGTTGTTATTTGTGGACCTAATCATAACCCTTGACTCTGTTCAAAGATGGTCTCTGGTATTGGATGTGATTGGCTCCTGGTCAATGACCTTTGACCCCTTTCTAGTCGATGCTGTGACTGGTTTTGGTCTGGGTGTTCATTCAGCATCTTGAGTGTCCTTGTTTCACCAATGTAGGATGAAAACTCTAGATGGCTAGATGTTCCAACACCCAGGCACATAGTGATGCTATAGGATGCTGCTGGTGGTCCATATCGATTGTACAACTGAGCAAACTCCCTGATGAAGACTCTGGAAAAGCTCTGGAAAAACCTATTGAGTTGCCCTTGAGACTTCAGTGTTTTGTCAAGCTCCCATAAGGTTTGGGAGTCTCTAAGGTACCGCAGATGTGAAAACTCTATGCTGTTCGAGCTGAATTTACTGAGCTTACAGACCCTCCACATCACACCAGCTTCCACCGCCAACCACCACAGGCAGGAAACAGACCTGAGTGAAGCCAGCTGCGGAATGTAAGGCTGCAGTTCTGCTTGTCAAATGGAAAGGCGTACATCTCCAGGCTGCAGGCCACCACCACCTGCATGGGCCGGTAGTTCTTCACTGAGCCGGAGGAGTTGACGTACACGTAGGGGATCGTAGGGGACTTCCCCTCGTCCACACTGGGAGCACACATGAAGGAGAGGGGAGGAAAGGTGAGACATTAATAAGACTTCAGTTATCACTTTGGGGCATCACCAATCATCAATCAACAATCAAACAAACAATATCTTACATGATAGAAGGAAAGACCATTTCTTATATAATCGTTCTTAATTCCCAATATTTAGCTATGTTAAGGGGCCAAACTATTGTCTTTTTAATCATTTAATAAAAATCATGTAGACATGCATTACTGCTGAATATTTTTCAATGCATTCGTAGTGTTTTGATTTTTTTTATAATTTTCCAATCCTACAGACAGCCCTCTGGCTCCACTTACTCATTATAGACTATCTGTTTTATTTATACACTTTCAGATTCACAGAGACCAGTTAAAAATAATGCTAACATGTTTAGCAGGCAAGCTTTGGCTAGCTGGTCAGCTATGCAAGACCGGCCAATGAGCGTCCCTGGGCATCCAGCGAGAACAATTGTATCCCAGCAGCCCTTTGGCAATTATTGGCCTTTATATATCTCCGCCAGGGAGGTAAATATATATTTTCAGTGCTGTTTGTAGGTTTCTTTGATTTTCAGCAGGATTAAGGAGCAACTACTGGCCCAATTTTCATTGACACTTGGTGGAAGGGCAACTTTTCAATCTGCGCAAACTCGTTATTAATATGAATTGGGTACAGACTGGGGTATAAAGAACTATCATTATTATTATTAACTACTATGGACTATTGGCCTTCGTAAAAGTCTGAGTTCTCCAAATGCCATTCAACAGTGTTATTTGTAGAATTTTAAATATGAAATAGTCCCTGTGACTTCTGCAAATCTGACCAATCATCATAGTTTCCGGTGAGTTTTTCCATTATTTTTTTAGAAAAGCAGCAACAATCCCAAAAAAAAGCAAGTGAAATCCCGTAGGTCCTGATATAATATAATTCTTATTGTAAGATGAACTTTGTCAGTGTCGAAATCTAATGTTTGTTGCTAAATCCAACTGGCTTGGCATTCCTAAATCTTGGCCCCTGCTTTCGATCCTGGGTAATACTTAATGACATGTAGACTTAGCGCTATACTTAAAGGTTTTGAGCGGATCGTTTCAGTAATTTCTTACAATTCACTAACGATGATATCAGGTACCCAGATGGCGTCAGATGACAGTGAGATCTCATTGATACCATCGAACTCCTCTGGGTCCCAAACCAGGAACTCATCTGTCCAGATCTGAGGAAACAGAGGAGGAAAATTGTGGTAAAATAGTATAATTTATGTATTTAAATGGAAAAGCCAATATTTACAAAAACCTTTAAATGAAAAATGAAACTTAACAGCCTGTGTTATTGATAATAAAGTTCATGTCTGTGAAGTGAGAGTTTCTGCATAAGGTGTTAAAACCTGACTGTGTAAAATGAGAATTCAGCCACTGAGGAGGTTAATAATTATAAAGATATGTATTTTATGGAGGTTAAAATTATTGTAAATCCTAAAGCAGTACAATGAGTGAAATAAGAGGCCACCTACCTGTCTGTACCAAATACTTGTAGTTATGCTTTGGGTGTTTCCATCCTGTGAAAAAGCGAATGTCTTAATAACATGTTTTAATAACTTAATATTTTAATAATGCTTTTGTTTTATATTAAGTGACTTGAATTGACTAAACCTTTTTGCCATTGCAACCAAACTTGCACTGACGAGCTCATTCGGGACAGACAACTTTCAACACAGCATGCTGCTAAAACCATTAAATAAATATAGATTTCAACAATTTACTTCAAATACAAGTTTCATACTGTATGACGGGCCTTGTGTATGGCTTTTACTTTTTACATTTATTTAATATCCGATGCCTTAAACGAACTATTGGAGTAAAAAACCTGAATTTTAGCAGCAGTAAGAGTTTACCACGTCGAGGACGGACTGTAGTATGAGGTCTATGTAGACAGTGGTAAGACTGGTCCAGTTGTAAACAGGTCGAACTCCACAGTCGTATTTCCTGAGGAGGGTCCTGGTCAGCTGGTTCAGAGCTGATCTCTTTGGCTTCTCTGGCACACATTTAGCCAGATGAGCTAAAAAGGCAAAGCTGGATTATTAAAACGTCAGGGGACTCGAAGGCTACAGCTTCACTGTGCGGCAATTAGTTTGGCAATACTGTATGCACCACTTAAAGCTCCAGTATGTAACATTTAGAATCTATTGTCAGAAATGTAATATAATATTCATAGGTATGTTTTCATTCCTGTATAATCAACTGAAAATAGGAATTACCTTAAAATGAGTTTTTATCTACGGAGTCCGCTATGTTAAAACACAGGTCCCATTTTTCTCAAGTTTCAAGGCAAACGTGTATTCAGTTGGTTCCAATCTGCAACTTCTCCACTAGAAGGCACGAAATCCTGCACGCTGGTCCTTTTAAAGAGGCTCCTCGATGTTTAGGTAATGTTGAGGCCAGACTTGTAGAGTGACCACATTGAGTTGAAATGCTTACAGGGTGCATATCTTACAAAACAATAAGAAAAAGTTGTTTCTGGAGTGTTGGGAAAAATATAATAAAGCTGACAAGTCAAATATGCCATGTGCACTATAGGTACTTAGAGGACCAGCGTGTAGGATGTAGTGGCATCTAGTGGTGTAGTTGCAGATTGCAACTCCCTCGCTTCACCGTCGCCCTCCAAGTGTGTAGGAGAAACTGCGGTTGGTCGCTAACAGCCCTACAGCCAGTGTCTGGTTTGTCTGGTCTGGGCTACTGTAGAAACATGGCAGTTCAACATGGTGGACACTAAAAGGCTAACCATACTGTAGAAATAAAAGGTAACAAAAAAAACATTTTTTTATTTTTCAGATTTCTGCCAATAGATCCTCCTAAACAACCATCATAGAAATTGTGGTGGTGGGGTGGGGTGGGGCAGCAGCAGGGCCCCCTCAGCTCACCCTGGGTCCTGTTACCTGGTTAGTCCAGTCCTGCTAAAAGGTTGAGGGATGTATGAAGTTACTCAATACAATTCAGTATAGTCTATACTGATGATAAATGCAGAGTGTCTTGATGAATTTATCACATTTTTTAGGAAAATAAAGTTTATACTTTTATCAAACAGGCAAAATACATACAAATTGTACACACTAATATGAGTTTATTTGCTCACATTAGAGGTTGTGGTGCTTTATGATAACCAGGAGGGCACAATAATTTTACTTTCTCTTTACCAGTATATTCATTATTACATGTGCACATGTTAGAAAAAAGACCATCACAGGACTGAAAGTGACTCTGTAAGAGAGTAGTTGCTGATATAATGTAAGAAACATAAGCAATTAGCCACAGAACTGTCACTCCAAAGAGCAACCAATGCTGTTTAAAATCTGGCAGCTTCACAATAAACTCCATTCTGATGGAAGATTTCACACAGTAGAAAGCAAACAACTGCAGGTAGTTTATAACTAATAAATCCAATTGTCTGGTGATTTCTTTGGCTAAAAAAGGGGCACCTTACCTGAGAACAACAGCGTCAGCCAAATGAGAGACATCGAGCTGAAAATCAGCCTTCCAGATTGCAGATGTTATCCAGGTGTCACGTCAAAACATCTGTTAACGCAAAAAATATCCACACTTTCATCAAATAAGTTCAGGAGTAGCGGTACTACTGTGTAGAGAAAGAACAGTGAAACCAGGTAGTGCAGACATTTTGGTTGCACTGATATCGATTTTCCACTCCCCGGGTAAGTTGATACATAATAATGAAACTCCCTGAAGGTTTGTTTAGTGCCATTGCAGAGGAGCATGAACACTTAGATATCTGTTATTGTAAAGGTGTTTTTAACACAGCACCAAATACAACATGTCCTAATAGTTCTTCCTTCTCCTTCCTTCCTATAAATTATCTCATATATTTATATACTTAGGTGGATCTTTTGTAGAAGTTGATATCACTCATCAAGTCAAGTCAGTTTTCTTTATGAAGCCCAAATTTCATTTTTCTCAGTGAAGACTGATGAAGATGTAAAAGTAAAAAGATTTTCAGGTAAAATCATTTGAATGTTACTGAAAAGACATAAAATACACTTTTGATTCCCCCGAAACACTTTTATGTGAAATACAAGACCAAAGTTTTCCAAGAAATATGAGAGAAATGTGTTTAAAGTGATGCACAAGACATATAAAATATTTCCATATGGGTTCAACCAAAAAAAAAAGACATCCTACGTCTTGGGTTTTAATATTTATCTCAGTATCATTAATTAAAAAACTTTCAAATGAAGCTGGAGCAAATATTGGAGGGGGAAATGAAGGGGTTAAGAGGTTGAAATATTAATAAGGTTTAAATTTGGAAGAAATTGTATATATTTATCTGTGTACTTGAAAGAGGAAGCACAGTAACCATAAACCATTAACATTATGAATATGAGTACTTTTATTTTATTTTATATTATATCACAATCTGATAAATTAATTCATTGGTTCACTTGTTTGATTGATTTGTTATTGATAAATACAGTTTTTCATGGATCATTTTGACTTTAAAAACAATTGATATATATTATATTGGCTTAAATATCAGCACAAATCAGTTCAGTTCAAATTCAATCCTAGTCTTCCTTCTTCAGTTTATTTTTATGTAATTGTATTGTAATGTAATGCAATCAAATCAGAGACTAGTTATTAATAAATTATTATTAAAAAATTATTTTAGGGGTTACAAACTTGATTGTCAAACTCTTTGAATTTTTTTTTCAGGAAATGTGCCATCTGACACAAGAAAAAGTATAAATAATCTCATAAAGTCGTATATCAACTACCAAACTGTGTCAGTGTTTAAAATTAAAAATTAAAAAATTCTCTTATCTAGAGTAATATGAAGTATGTTTTATTGCAGGAGAAATTGTAATAGGAGCTGAAATCACATTACAGTATGGAGACACACTGTAAAAAAATGTTTTAAAACTTTATTTACAAACAGGTAAACAGACAATACATGAACAACAACAGTTTCTTATTTTTACAATATGGGAGTAATGTAATGTTTGAGTTCACTTTCAAAATAAAATAATATATAATAATATAGAAAAAAATTTGATTTATGGATGTGAAATTATTGATGAGTTATTTTGGTAGAGGGATAAGAAAAAAAAACAATAAATGTTCATATAAAACTGTAAACAACAACAACAACAAGAACATAAAAGACCAAAATAAATCTCCTGGAGCCAGTTCATGCAGTAAACTCATACGGATGGTAGAAACACTTTCAAATGTGACACAGACACCGGAAGTGTTGTATTTCTGTGAGAGCGCGCGCCCTCCGGTGCACACACGCGCGCGTGTTTGTGTCTTTGACAGGTGAGCGCGCGCGCAGCTGGCCGGTGTCTCTCTCGGTGCTTGTGACAGATGGAGCTGCTTTGAGTCGGGACTCAGGGCTGAGAGCATATTGTGGGAAAACGGGAGAGACATTTGGTTTTTCTGTCTTTTGGTCTGCAATGAGAGGGGAACAGGCTGAAAATGGAGAGAACTCAACGAACTCGGTGAGCGCAGAGGATGATGGAGCCGTGTTATTAACAAAAAACAAGTGACATGTTTGTCATCGGAATGCCCGAGGAACTAACACAACACTAACCCCCTCTGTCCGCCCGAAACCTGTACTAAAAATCTGTCATTTTAAAGTTTTCAAATGGTTGGGTAAACTAAACTAGGTAAACAAAAAATTACATCAATATCATATTATTTAGAACAGATTCTTGAATTCGGCTCACATAAAATACACCAAACCGCTGGTATGTCAGTAAAATTCAAACTTTTTCCATGATGGATTTGTCTGATTAGCTAGCAGGGAATTATTCATAAGCATATATTTTTGCTTCTTAGCTAAATAGGTCTTTATTTCTCATTTGCTCGCTAAATTGTTGGAATTTGTTTAGTTATTTAATAAGTTATATAACTATGAACTTATCCAGTTAATATGATAAGCAGATGCTTGATAAATTAAAAATGTCACATTTTAAGTCTAATGTTCTCAGTTGTCGGTACCATATTCCATTAAATAACCTACAGATACAGGCTATAAGTGATTTCATTTCCTTTGTCACCTGAATTATCACTAATAAAAAGTTAATCACATTTTCTTTATTCAGTATTTTGCTCTGTAGCCATCCAAGCAGGCTATTGCTTTATGAATATGCCTTCTTTATGAACTATTACAGCAGACATTGAGCCAAGCTTTTAATATTTTTGTGCACTATAGGTTAACATACAGTTGACATTCTGTGGTGTAATATCAGGAAATTCACACTGTTTTCTGCCTGGTATTGACATAGGAAGTGTGTGTGTGTGTGTG